TCTTAATTTACCCCACAATGTAACTGGAAATTCGTATCCTCGGAAAAGATAAAATCAGAATATGTAGGCAATAATAAATAAATTAAATAAATTAAAATAAATATTAATTTATTAATAGCCATTACCACACTCAAGAAAAGCTTCGCATATAAAATTTAGATTTTGTTCCATCCTCATATCTTGTTTTCCTTAAATTAGGGTTTTCTGCATTGAGAACACTAATTAAATCCACAATTATAACATCATGAGTCTACACATTTTAATAATAGAAAACTGTTAATGGGTCAATTGATGTAATGGTAGTTTTATATTACTAGTGAGATGAGTATCTTGGTTCAATCTGAGAAGAGCATCTGAATATGATAGAAAATTAAATAAGCCTTAATGTTAATATTAGGTTCATTGACTTTCAATACATGAGTTGCACTATTAAATTTAATTTTCACAAATCTAGCTACAGGTCGATAGCTAAACTCAATTACACAACCAAATTTTGTAATGTTCCTCCGGAAGCAAAGATCGGAAAATATTTACTTGCTTACCATCAAGTGTAATATGTATGGAATCACCCTAAAACAAATAGAATAAAAGAAAGAAAAAAGATTAGAATTTATTTGAAATACACACTAGAACAGAGGGATTAAATACATTAGACAATGAAGGAAACAGAGGGATTAAATACATCAATTAAAGCAGTGATAATTTCATAGGTCGATTTGCTCGCCATATTACAAAATACATCAATTAAAGAGCATTAGAATTTACGTTAACCTCGATGCCCACAGCATCAAGACCACCATTGATGGGATTTCTTCCTGGGGCTATAGCATCCCAAATTCTTTGGATACGTAGCACAATTCTAGAATAGGATTTACCTTTTAACAAACCACTAATAATTTGAAATTTAGGATTCATTGGCTACAAGGAAGGAAATTGGAAAAAAAAAAAATCTAAGATTTAACTGTATATTTATAGTAATGCAATTTGTAAAAGCAAGTTATTAGATATAGTGTTTTTTTTTTTTTTACTAATCTTTCGGTAATCAATAATCACATTAAATTTCAATTAATTTAGAATTGAATCGCGTTAGACCTATTTGACAAAACTCTCTTAATGTCTATTTTTCTATTTACAATACTCAAACTCAAAATTTTATTTAAGGAAAATCGAATTTTTTTCACTTAGTATACTAATGTTAATTAAAGAGATGTAACTGGTTGGGGACCATTAGGCTACGTTGCAGCCTACGTACGGCTAATTATTGAAATAAGATATAGCTGAGCTGCGCGTCGGGGTATTGCTAATTAAGGAGATGTAACCAGTTGGGGACTCGCTTGGCTACATACGATTAACTAAAGAGATAATATATACCTAGATAATAGCTAATTAAATGTTAATTATTCTTTCACTTGAAATCTACTACACCTAAAAAAAAATGTATTTGGTTAGGACTATAATTCATACACCTTTCGGTTTAACATTCGAGAATGCACACTTTAAATAATCAAATAATTTTAAAAGTAAAATTATAAAATTACCCTCTCACTTGAACCATTTTCCAAATGACAATAAGAACAAATTTTAGTAAAACTCAATCAAGAATTCAAGTACCAAATCCTTCCTTACTCTAATCATCTGCAAGACAATTGGTAGTCGTACCAAGTTTCTACCTTCTTTCTCTTTTTTTTTTTTCATTTTTTCTTCCTGGTTCTCCAACATAACCCAAATGGAGAACCCAAAAGGGCAAAAAAAAAAGAGAGGAAGAAGGGAAAAAGAAGAAAATAATAAATTTGTTAGAAGAGGAAGATGAGGCAACAAAAAGAAAAAGGGGTATTGTGAAGAAGATGACTTCTAAAGTTAAATTTATAATTTTATTTTTATAATTATTTAGTTGTGTAGAGTGTGCACCCCGTGTGTTGAAGTTGGGGGTGCACAAAGCATTTTTCAATAGGATAATATTAGATAAATTAGAATTATAGTAAGATATTAGATTCTTAAGTTTTAAGTGAGTTTTGAACTCTTAAAGAAGGTCCAATAAATATTTATTTAAGATTTTATAAGTATTTTAAAGAGATTTTTTAAAGATTTTAAAAGAACTTATTGAGGATTTTTAAAAGTCTATTAAGTATTTTTTTATTAATGATTTTAATCATTTTTATAACATCATAAGATAATTTTAAAAATGTTATTTATTTATTTTAATCAACAAAAACAATAAATAACCGTAAATATTAGTTAATATTTGATAAAAAGTCTTAATATTTTTAGTTAATAAATTATTAAAATTAATTAATTAATATTTTTAAATATTATTTAAAAATATTAAAAAGTTAATAATTTTAATATCTTTTATACAATAATCGCCACTGCAAACAGAAGAAATTGATTAGTAGTAATCTCCCGTAAAAAATAGGAAATCTAGTTTCTAAATTTGAGTGATTTGATTTGCGTATATTAGTTGCAGAGCTACGGGCTAGAGGTTAGAGCACGCCTAGTGGTAATCTACTAATCTCCCGTGAAAAATACGGCAATCTAATTTCCAAATTTGAATGATTTGCTATGGAGGTAGTAGTTGCAGAGCTAGGGACTACGGGATCAGAGCCCACCTAAACTTCTGTGGAATTACTAGTTTGGGAAATGGTTGCTGGCTTATCGGTTTTCTTTTTTTTTTCTTATTAATTTCTTTATATACGATAATCATATTAAATTTTAATTCATTTAGTATAGAATGGTATCAAATTTATTAAAAAAAAAATCTTTTAATATTTATTTTTTATTCAAAAATTCAAACTTAAAATTTTATTTTAAAAAAATTAAATTTTTTCCATTTAAACTAACTTATCATTAATGTTATTGACTTATTGTTACCAATCAAAAAAAAGTTAATATTATTAAAATTATAAAATAATATTTTTAATGATATTAATTTAATTTAATTGATATAAATAATTAATAAAATAATTAATATTTATTAATTAATAAATTAAAATTAATTATTAAATTAATATTTTTAAATACTATTTTAAAAAACTGAAGTATGGTGTCCTTAACATTTATAAGGATGGTAATAACCACCCCCTTTTAGTCCACTCTGTTTTATTTTTATTATTTTTGTTCTTATTTATTTTATACCATTTTAAATATTTTTTAATTTTTTAATATGAAAGATGTGAAAAAAAAAACTAATTGAATAAAAATTGTTTAATATCATCATTTCATAAAATATTTATTTAATAATATACTTTTTTTAATTAGTATATTAGTACTCTAGATGTTCATTGTTTTCCTTCAATGAATAGCTTTTACCACATTATCAACATAGTTAATTAGTTTATTATTAAAAACTATTAAATTACATTTAAAGTATTTTTTGTTTTTTAAAAATTTTAATTATTCTCTTTGTTTAACTTTAATAATTTTAATTTTTTATTTAATAAAATAAAATATAATAATTTATTAATAATTTTGTATTTATTTTTAATTAAATACTATTTAAATAAGATTTTTTATTTAATATATATTGTATTTATTTTTTAAAATAAAAAATATAAATATATTAAATAATATCTTTAAAAAGTGTATAATTAAATTAAACATTTTAAATAAAAAATTAAATATATTAAAATTAAATAGAAAGTAACTTCTTAATTGACACACAAATTTATTAATTTTTTGGGTCAAAATTTGATATTACTGCCCCGAAAAAAAAATTTCTAGTTCCACCAGTCACCACTGCTCATTGGGGTGACTTAAAGTTAGAGAATGATGATGGTGACTTTACCATTTACTCTCTATATTTTTTTTTTCTTTTTCCTTTTGAAAACTTTGAAAGCTCATTTTTCATTTTTTTTATCAATTAAATTTTGAAGCTGTTGTAGAGAGAGATTTCTTTTCGCAATAATTTTAAAAGCTTTGCGTAATTTGTGTGCTTAAATATTAAGAGTATGGAATATGAGTATAATAAAATATATTTTTAAATATTAATTTATATAAAAATTAAAAAAATAATATTATTTTTAATATTTATATCATGTTAATATTTTTAATTAGATAATTTATAAATTAATTTTTTTTTTTTTACATATATTTAGGTGGTTGGCAATTTCAATATTTGTTTTTCTTCCTGCTTTCTCTCAATTACCAGCGCTTAATGGAGAAATAAAACATTATATTAAGAATAATGATATAAGAGACTATTTCTGTGAAACGAATTTGGGGACCATTGACGTGGCAAGCCACGTAGACAGACATCCAGTACAGTTATCACATAGATTTACGTACACGTAACTTCATTTTTTAGTGGTGAGAATATGTAAAAGGAGTTTAACTTAATTTTTAATTCTAACTTTAATTTTTAGGCAAAAGATCTTGAATTCCTTCAAAATCATCGCCTCCTCTTCGAACCCACATCCAATCTTGGCGAAAGGTTTCAACTTTTTAATGCAAATCTTTCTAGAGTTTCCTAAAGGGTGGAGATAGAAATGGGGTTTTCCCAGAAAGCGATCATGTTCTTATTTCCCATCTGGGTTTTAAGTTTCGAGCTCAGCCATGGCAGCATCTTCACCTTCAAGATGCGCCCCCCAGTTCTCGGAAGCAGTCATGAATTGATCCAACTCCACCGAGAGGCTCCCCCATTTGCTCGCAAAAGGCACTTTTGAGTATTGCATTGTGTCAATCCACCGCGATCGTCTGTTTCTGTACTTTGATTTGGCTAGTTCTCCTCTTCCTCATCTTCATTCAGATGGTTAGTGTTGGGGCTCTGCAAAGATGAAGACAGAAGCAAAATCGATATTGATAAATTAAAAAATTTTACTTCTTTTTAATGGAAACCCAAATCAGTCATTTAATTCAGTCTAGGTGGCAAATATGCCGTGTGTCTGTTCACGTGGCTTGCCACATAGATCGTCCCCCAATTTCGTTTCATGAAAATCGTCTCCGGTATCATTATCCTTATATTAAAAGTTTAAAACCCTATTCTCCTCATTCTCTTATATCCTGCCGCACCTCAAGAAGAGAAAAATTCATATGGAATTGCCCAGCCATGTCCTGGAATTAGATCTCGAGCGACTTCTTCTGCCCGACCTTGTTCGAGCAAGAGCGGTATGCAGTATGCTCTTCTTGGTAATCCTCTGCCGAAGCCATCGTTTCTCGCTTTGCCAAAGCTCCATGGCTCTTCTCTCATTCCAAGGAAACTGACACTGGTTTTGTTGATATCAACCCGCTTCATGAGCCTGGAAGAAACCCTTGTTTACCGATTGAAGGAATCAACATCTAACGTGTTTTCCAGCTTCCCCTGCATCGGATCTTCACACGGGTGGTTGATTATTTTGGACTGCACCACTTTCAGTCCCTTCCTGTTAAACCCTTTCACCGAGGAGCAGATCCACCTCCCACCGCTGGATCCTGTCTTTGGTATGTCAAATACGAATCTAGACCAACTGCTGATGAACCAATACCAACTGATAATGAGCCCACACGAACAGATGAACAGAAAATTACACCGATAACTACTAAGGGAACGTTTGGTTTTAAAAACTATTCTAACGTCGGAAACTGTTGGTGAATACGGTGTTGTTTTGACCTGCACTGTCCGTAAGAAGCTTGGATTCTACAAGAACGCCAACGATTCCCGGATGGAACTCGACAGGCCTTATTATGGTTATGAAGACATTATCTTCTGCAGAAGCCAACTTTATGCATTACGCGCCTCTTGGTCTGCTTCGGTTGATATATGGGATTTAGGAACTTGTCCTTCAACAAAAAGCATTGCAATTACTGCTAATCAAAACCCAAAGAAATCACTGGACAAACAGATTATGGTCTCCAAATTTTGGGTTATCTGGTTGAATCCGTAGGCGAGATCTTGCTTGTTTTGAGGTTTCTCCCTAACACGTGGAGGTTTGAGGGCCTTGAAGATCCTGGCGACATTAAAAGAACGAAGCTGTTTCATGTGTACAAGTTGGATGCGGAAAAGGAGGAACGGATACAAGTAGAATACCAGGGAGATCGCACTGGGTTTGTTGGTGTAAATCATTCCATCTCAATATCGACAAAAGGATCTTCAGATTGTAAAGGCAACTCGATTTACTTCACTGGTAATTATTGGATTGATCGTGATGACCGGCATGGGAATGATACTGGAATATATAATTTGGGAGATGAAGATGGAATTTTGGGCTCTGTTTCTAAAATTGAGTCCATGGGTGTCCTGCCTAACTGTTGGGTTTTTCCAAACTGCAATTAAACACAATGCATCAACGTGAGAGGATTTACTTTCAATCTTCAAAGTCTTTAGTCAATTATTTTCAGCTTTTTTTCTTTTTTTTTTTTAGTGTGTGGATTCATATTCGTTAGTTGCTTCTTGAATTGAGCTTATGGATGTAAGTGTGATAGAAGGTTCTAAGTTGCTACATGAATTAATTGTGCCAAAGCTTTGGTACCCCATCTTACTATTATTCTACCATGAAATCTTTTGTTTAGATTCATATTCTCCCCATGGACAGGATCCCAAGTTAGAAAACTGCTGACAGACGGGATTGCCATTCTAGTTTGAGGGGAGACAAGGGGTGGGGAGGGGAGGGGAGGGGGGAAATATATTGATGTATAACATTTTTTTAAAAAGCATTTATTAAATAATAACACAATTTTTGTCATATAATAAAAACTCAAAATATCATAATAATTCACAATAATTCACAATAATCTCAAATGAAGTTTTAATTAGTCAAAATAATAAACCCTCTCTTTTATTTCCTTTCCCTCATTTTCCCTCAAATTAAACAAATTATAAATGTTCTAAAATGCCTACTAATATTTGTGGCGTTGTAAAATATAAAATTATGGACAAAATCATGTATGATTCTTTTAAGTTCTGTTCTCTCAGTCGTTTTTCCTTTTTTTTCTTTTTTCTTTTTTTTCCAAATCTCTCCCCAAATCAATTATGTGATGAGTTTAAACCACACATTTAACTTGTGCTGACAATGTAGGGTTTCTTGGAAATAAAATTTGTCAAGTCCTAATCAAACTAGAACTCCAAATTTGTCTTGAATTCTCTCAATTTATTAACTTGAAAAATACTCCTTTTTTTCCAATCTAGTTTTCTTCCAATAATTAAGGCACACCCAAAACTTACTTGCACTCCATGTAGAGAAATAGAGAAAATCCCTATGGTTCTACCTACCTTACCTCCAAGAGAAGACAAAGAATTCATGTGGAATTACCCAACCATGTCTTCGAATCAATCTTCCAGCTGCTTTGTCTGCTTGATCTTGTCGGGCAAAAGCGGTTTTTTCTTCCTGGAAATCATATGCCGAAGCTGTTGGAGATTTTAATTAAAAGTTGCAAATCATTCGTGCCCAGTCGGTTACGAATCCACTATCTTTCAAAAAATTAAATTTGTGCAGTTACAAAACCATGCTTTGATGGATTTGTGCGTTTCTTTTTAAATGCTATAACCGGCTCGCACATCACTCACCAATTTCAAATTTTGTTTTACTCACCAGTTTCAATTTTTTGTAACTGACATATGCCATATTAAATTCCAACCGTTTCTCATTTTAATTTACTTCGGTCATGTAGCTGTGTGAAGGCCGCAGCCTCCATTTCTACAAAAGATTTTTTTTTACAATCTTCATAATCTGCACTCTAATTATAAAAAACATAGCATTCAAACTCTCTTTGGGCAAGGAAAAGGTAGTGGGGTAGAGCTTTCTTTATAAGAGTGCAGTACTTGTAAAGATACAATGAGTAAAGGTTAAGCTGTTGTATTCTGGGAGCAGCGTGACCATGAAAATTTGCTGCTTCATTGACACGAAACATCCTAAAGAAATTAATTGATCCACACCTCAACTCAAACTCCTCATACTTTCGGTGACAGCTTTCTACTTTTCATCTTCATCTACAATTAATTGTTTTTTGCTATTCTTTTGTCTAATTTTTCTTTCTATTTATTTTATGAGTAACAACAATTTTAGGACGTTTTGAAAGAAAAATTCTTTAAAAATGAGTTTACCTCGTGAAAAACCTATTAAGCTCGCTAATGATCTTAACATGCCTTTTCGTTTTAATGGGGAGCATTTCAAAAGATGGAAAGGAAAAGTTTTGTATTATCTTAATTTTTTAAATTTGGCATATGTCCTTAATGAGGAAAATCCTATTAATTTGTCAACCAAAGGTATGAGTGCTAAGGAAAAGAAATCTCATAAGAAGAAAGTCCAAAAGTGGGAGAGAGATGAATATAGCTGTCGCAACTCTTTATTTAATTGCCTTTTTGATGAGTTTTATGATTAGTATGAAAGAACTTACTCCACTGCCAAGGAAACTTGGGATGCTTTGCAGAAAAAATATGACTTTGAGGAGGCTAGTGCGAAGATGTATGCTGGTAGCCAATGGCTACGCTTCCAAATGGTGGATGACAAGTCGGTGGTGTCACAAATTCGAGAGTTGCAAATGCTTGCTCATGAGTTTCAATTTGAAGGCATACGAATTGATGACAACCTTGAAGTTGTAGCCATTATCGACAAGCTACCGCCTTCACGAAAGGAGTTCCAAAAGATGATGCATCACAAGCAAAAGGAGATCACCGTGGGAAATCTATTAACTCGTATTCGAGTTGAAGAGGAGGCAAGAAATCAAGATGCTCGAACTACAAATGGAGGCAACACATCAAAGGTACACTTTGTTGCCACTAATGATAGCTTTCCCAAAAATAATAATTTTAAATATAATGCCCTATTGAGATCTAAGAAGAAATTTGTGAAAAAGAATTATGGAAATCATTCTGCTAGGAGACCAAGTCAAAATTTTAAGAACCAAGGACCTCCTTCAAAACAAAATAGCTATACATGTTTTGTGTGTGGCAAGCTTGGGCATACTGCTAGAGTTTGCAAATTCTGGAAGCGTGGGCCTACTCCACAGGTCAAGGCAACCGAGGAGCCCTTTGTGGCAATGTTATCTGACATAAACATGCTTAATGGCAGTGAGGGATGGTGGATTGCTTCTAGTGCCGCAAGGCATGTTTGTAAAGACAAATCTTGGTTCAAAACATTTTCTGAATATGATGTTGAAAAAGAAGTGAGACTTGGTGATGGTCATACAATCAAGGTTCTTGGCCAAGGAGATGTGGAATTGAATTTTCCCTCTGGAAAAACATTGACTATCAAAGATGTGCTTTACACTCCTCAAATGAGGAAAAATTTAGTTTCTGGATTTCTTCTTGGTAAGGCTGGCTTCAAAGAGGTTTATGAATCTGGGCATTATGTTTTGACTAAAAATGGTATATTTGTTGGGAAAGGCTATGCTTGTGATGGCATGTACAAGTTGAATATTGATATGACTAAAGTTCCTTCAAGTTCTATTTATATGATTTTTAATACTGTTTGGCATGCTCGTTTATGTCATATTAATAATAAATATATAAAAAATATGAGTAATCTTGGATTGATACCCAAAGTAAATAATGATTTTGAAAAATGTGAATCTTGTAGTTTGACTAAAATCACTAAAAAAACCTTTTAAAAGTGTTGAAAGAAAAACCGATTTATTAGAATTAATACATACTGATATTTGTGAATTTGTGGGAGTTTTGTCACATGGTGGTCATAGGTATTTTATTACTTTTATTGATGATTTTTCAAAATATACTTATATTTATTTAATTAAGCATAAGAGTGATGCTTTTGAAAAATTTCAAATCTTTTTAAATGAGGTTGAAAACCAATTTGAAATGAAATTAAAAGGTTTAGAAGTGATAGAGGTGGTGAGTATGATTCAAATGATTTTAACAAATTCATACAATCTTTGGGTATTATTCATGAGACTACTCCTCCATATTCACCTTCTTCTAATGGTGTAGTTGAACATAAAAATCGTACTTTAATTGATTTGACTAATGCTATGCTTGTTAGTTCATGTGCACCATCTAATTTGTGGGGTGAAGCTGTTTTGACTACATGTTATATTTTGAATCGTATTCCTAATAAGAAGACTAACATGACTTCTTTTGAGTTGTGGAAAGCATATAAGCCAAATCTTAGTTATCTCAAAGTTTGGGGATGCTTGGCTTATATAAGATTGACAGATCCAAAAAGACCAAAGTTGAGTGCAAAAGCTGCAACATGTGTATTTATTGGGTACGCAACTACAAGTAAGGTATATAGATTCCTTGATCTTGATTCTAATGTTGCTATTGAATCTGTAGATGCTATATTTCATGAAGATAAATTTCCTTTTAAACTTAAGAAGGATGGAAGTCATGATTTTACAAAGCAAAATGATTTTGAACCTAGTTCCTCAATTTCATCTCATTTTTAAAACCAAGACAACATGGATTTTGAACCTAGGAGAAGTAAAAGAACACATAAAGAAAGAAATTTTGGTTTAGATTATTATGTATATAATGTAGATGGAGAGCCATTGTCTTTTCAAGAAGCTTTAACTTCTTCTGATTCTGATTTTTGGAAAGAAGCTATTAATGATGAAATGGATTCTTTGATTTCTAATAAAACTTGGAAGTTAGTAGATTTACCTCTTGGTTGTAAAACAATAGGTTGTAAATGGGTTTTGAGGAAAAAACTTAAACTAGATGAAACCATAGATAAATATAAAGCAAGACTTGTTGCAAAAGGTTTCAAACAGAAGGAGGAACTAGACTTTTTTTTGATACTTTTTCACCTGTAACAAGAGTGACTTTTATTAGAGTACTTATAGCTGTAGCCGCCATTCATAACATGCTCATCCATCAAATGGATGTTAAAACGGCATTTTTAAATGGAGACTTGCATGAAGAAATTTACATAGATCAACCTGAAGGTTTTGTTATGCCTAGCCAAGAGGACAAGGTATGTAAATTGACTAAATCTCTTTATGGTTTGAAACAAGCTCCAAAACAATGGCATAAGAAATTTGATACTTGCTTGATAGAAAATGGTTTTAAATCAAGTGAAAGTGATAAATGCATATATTTTGGATTTTTCAACAACTGCCATGTTATCATATGTTTATATGTTGATGATCTCTTGATTTTTGGTTCAAATTTAGAGCTGATTGACACTACTAAGTCATTATTAAATAAGCATTTTGACATGAAGGATTTGGGTGAGGCTAATGTAATTCTTAGCATGAAAATAACTAGGAATTATGATGGAATCTTTCTTGACCAATGTCATTATATAGAAAAAATTTTGAAGAAATATAACTATCATAATTCTAGACATGTTATGACGCCTTTATCACCTAGTGTGCATTTGTATCCCACTTTGCATGATAAAGATATTCTCAATCAAAAGCAATATGCTAGTATCATTGGTAGTTTACGATATCTTACTAATTGCACAAGACCTAATCTTTTTTATGTGGTTGGAATGTTAGGGAGATTTACTAGCAAGCCTAATTCCTTTCATTGGGATTGTGTTAAACACTTAATGGGATATTTATGTGCTACCAAAAATTATGATTTATTCTATCAAAAATGCCCTGCTATACTTGAAGGATTTTGTGATGCTGATTGGAACACCTTGTTAGGTGATTCTTTATATGTTTCAAGGTAGCAGTGGTGCTGTGAGTTGGAAATCTAAGAAACAACAAATAATTGCAAAGTCAACTATGGAGGCAGAGATGATATCATTAGCACTAGCTTCTGAAGAAGCTAGTTGGCTAAGAGATTTGTTATTTGAAATTCCTCTATGGGAAAAACCAGCACCTCCTATACTCATTCATTATGATAGTACTGTAGCTATTTACAAGGTGAATAACCATTTTTATAACGGTAAATCCAGATCTATTCGGAGGAAACATAGTATTGTGAGGTCCTACTTGGATAATGAGACAATCCAAGTGGATTATATACCATCAAGTGAAAATATTGCTGATCCATTTACAAAAGCTTTGGCCAGAAAGAAGATCTGGGTTACATCGAGGGGAATGGGATTGAAACTCAAAGAATGTGGAACTTCCTATGAGGATACCCAACCCAATTTTTGAGAATTTGGGTTTTGAATGGAAAAAACGAATCATAGAGAGGTCGTTGTTGAAAGATGTATAGAAAAAAAATTAATCTCATTCCTAAGGTGTAGATGCATCTATCCCATAACGTATGTGAGGGTTGAGTGTTATACACTTTTAATAAAATTTGTAGCTCATTAAGTGGGGTGTCTTAGTTATAGGAGCACCCTTGACAAATTTCACTTATATGGATGTTGGAGTGGGGCCGCTCCTATGAGAATAAGGCTATTCTCTAGATCATCCATAAATACCAAGATTAGGCACAAAGGTCGTAATGTGCCAGCTTACAAAGTTCAAATTAACACCTAGATTATAATGTGTGTGATATGGTTTCTTATATCCTCTAAATAGTTTTAGTTCAAGACTTTGCTCACTAGTGACTTTGGCATAGGAATCATTGACTCACTAAATAGAGGTTCAAGGCAATGCTATCTCTATTATGCATAGTAATCCATCCTTACCTATATATTTTTCATCTTCTAAATTTCTTTCATTTTTAATTAAAATGGAGGGGGAACGTAGGAGATTTTAATTAAAAGTTGCAAATCATTTGTGCCCAGTCGGTTACGAATCCACTATCTTTCAAAAAATTAAATTTGTGCAGTTACAAAACCATGCTTTGATGGATTTGTACGTTTCTTTTCAAATGCTATAACCGGCTCGCAAATCACTCACCATTTTCAAATTTTGTTTTACTCATCAGTTTCAATTTTTTGTAACTGACATATGCCATATTAAATTCCAACCGTCTCTCATTTTAATTTACTCCGGTCATGTAGCTGTATGAAGGCCTATAAGTAGGCAGCCTCCATTTCTACAAAAGATTTTTTTTTACAATCTTCATAATCTGCACTCTCATTTTAAAAAATATAGTATTCAAACTCTTTTTGGGCAAGAAAAGATAGTGGGGCAAAACATTTTTTACAAAAGTATGGTACTTGTAAAGATATAACGAGAAAAGGTTGGGCTGTTGTATCATGGGAGCGACGTGACTATAAAAAACTATTGCATCAGTGGTACAATACGTTCTAAAAAAAATGATTGATCCACATCTTCATCTACAATTAATTGTTTTTTGCTATTCTTTTGTCTAATTTTTCTTTCTATTTATTTTACGAGTAACAACAGAAGCTGTTCTTTCTCGCTTCTCCAAAGCTCCATAGCTCTCCTTTCCTTATCAAGAAAACAACACATATACAAATTTTGCTGATATCGACAGCCCATCAACTTTGAAGAAGGCTTTGTTTACAGATCGATGAAGAAGACGTATCTGACTCATTTGCCAAGTTCCCCTGATTCGGATCTTCACATGGGTCGTTGATTTTTTTGGTCAGTCCCTTCCTGTTAAACCCTTTCACTGAAGTCCAAATCCACCTTCCGTCGTTGAATTCTCTCTTTGGTACCTCAAAACTTGGCTGCTGGAAAGGCCTAAAACAAAATTTGGTTTTAAAAGCTATTCTAACGTCGGATCCCGTCGGTGAATGGGGTATTGTTTTCATCTGCACAGCTTTTAGCAAGCTTGGATTCTGTAAGAACGGCACGGATTCGTGGATGGAGCTCAACGGTGATTATGAAGACATTATCTGCTGCAGAAACCAACTCCATGCATTACACTATTGTTGATCTCCTTCCGTTGATATATGGGATTTAGGAACTTGTCCAACAAAAAGGATTGCAACTACCGCTAATGAAAATATACCCAAGGAAATCACTGGACAAAGCATATTACTTTAGAAAAGGTCAGATTAATCCTTTGGGTTACCTGGTTGAATCCGAAGAGGAGAAACTTTTGTCATTGAGGATGACTATGACGACATCGATGGCGATGACTATGACAACATAAACAGAACGCAGCTGTTTCATGTGTATAAGTTGGATTCTGAAGAGAAAAACTGGGTAGCAGTAACATCCCTTGGAGATCGTGCGGTTTTTGTTGGTGTAAATCATTCCATCTCAACATCGATTGAGACTCTTTGGAATTGTTAGGGGAACTCAATTTACTTGCATGGCAATTATTGGCTTCATGAGAATTGGTACGGGCATGATACCGGAATGTACAGGTTGGGAGATGAAGATGGAATTGTGAGCTCGATTTCTAAATTCCAGTCCATGTATGTCCGGCCAACATGTTGGGTTGTCCAAGCTGCATACACACTGCATGAGGAATTACTTTCAATCTTCAAATTGTTTGTCATCACCACTGGTTGAAGTGTTCTTTTCCCCCTTTTTTTTTCTCTTTTAAAGAAATTAACCTAGTCAATTAATTTTCACCCTTTTTTTTTCTCATTGATTAATATTGAGCTGAATGACATCATAGAAACAGAGATTGATCAAGAAAATTTAGTTTGGTTGATCTACCGAGCCTCAGCAGACTTTATGCTCATTTCAATACAATTGATGTGTTGTTTTCTTTCAGTGTTTAGAAATTCAGGGTTTAAAACCTTGAGAACACTTAAGACAGCTAAGCAAAACAAATAAAATTAGAAACAGAGGCAATGGAATCAACACCACTAACATTGCTATTTCAAAACCCAAATAATTTAACCTGAGCGTATATAATCCAACATTACATGTAATTTAGACCCAAACAAGGAGAATACACGTATAAGAATAAAGAATGTGGATCACAAGAAGCTTTTTCTCCCCTTTTTTTTTTTCCCTAAAGGTACAGATGAGCAGAATATCTGAGCCTTCTATTAGGTGAGGTATTGTGATGAATGTGTAAAACCCCATAGCTGCATATAGATAAATCCAACACAGATACACAGTCAGGCACATATAAAAGGATTTGAGAGTTCTAACTTTCACCGTGTTAAACTGGGATATAAGTAAAAGAAATTTCAATTTAGTGGGGAAACAAAATTAAAGATGTTTTCCTTAACCATTCATTGCACAACCAGATAAACCAAAATTCAATGAATTGTGTTTTATTTTTCTCACTGAGGAAAAACAGAAACTTGGATCATCTTCTTTGGTTCTGGGGAACATGAACATGATACATCACAACTTATTATAAGCACTCTCATTCAATTTTACATGCGAAAGGCTAAATGTGTACCTACTAGATGGGGTTGTGCTCATCGTTATCTTAACTGATGCTCATTTCTTTTTCCTGTAATTCATGCTAATTCATATCATTCTGTCACCCATATTTATTTGTTTTGGATACCAATTAGCATTTACTTTTTTTATCCTTTACTAAAGTGTTCACGAGACAATTCCTCATTCACAAGATAATACTGCTCTTTTCCATGTTCTTACTTTCAAAATTGATTTCAAAAATGTGGAATCCTATTTATCAATTTTAACTTGAAAGAAACAAATATTTTAGACAAGAAGCAAATTTTGAAGATTTTTTATTCTTATTCTCCAATAAGTTTTCACAACAATGGGGTGGAACATAGCTTTTAATAATTGAAACTAAACATAATTAAGAGATTACCTCAACATTCTTTAATTGAAACTCTTCGTCATGAGCCAGACACACGTTCCCAAATGTTTCACAGGGACCACTAGTTCCACTTAACCTATTTCAACAAGAAGATAATGATCAAGAGAAAATAAAGAGCATTCTCCAGATAGACAATTGGCATGCTTTTATAAAGAGGCATCCTTAAAATGCAACTTACAGATCCCCATCCAAACACAAAGCGAAGTTGCCTCCACCACCAAGTGCTAATAAGTCATTTAAACATATATAATAGTAACGATTGGCACCTGTTTACATAAATAAAATAAGAAAACATATAAGGGACTACAATATTATAGATTCTTTTTATGGCAGCCCAGAAACAAAAAATTGTTAAAATCAAACTTGATATGAAAAAAAATTTTAGTTGTGAATTAACTGAAACAGTCTTTAAGAGAATATCTTCATTTACAGAAATCTGCATTGAGCATTACCCAAAACATCATAATCAGTTTATGATATACTAAGAAACAACCCAGCACAAACATGTTCACTCTATCATGATTAGTCTTCAAATGGACAGAACTTATGTTACGTTGTCCTCACACCACTCACAGAAACCAACTAACCAAGATGACATGCAGAAGTCTTCTGTGACTAGTAACCAAAAAAGTGCCTCAACTGTGTACTTTGCCTTCAAATTATTAAGTTTCTGTGTCTTGATTACAAGTAGGTTTTGCATCCATGTTTGCTCTAGTAACTAGGAACAACATTATTCAAATTAATATTTGGAAAAAAGGTGCTTACCAGTTGGTCTAAATAGCCTTGGTTCCTTGCATATGGTTGTGAATACAAAAGTTTGGTTTGTCCCCTAGCAAAAATTGCATAAGAAAAAAATGGTAAGACAACAGAGACATGGTTTCAATGGTAAGGCAGCAAAGAATGGGGATAAGATCAGCTAGCATATGGGAAGACAAAACACTTCATCAAGAACACATTTAACATACCTGATATTTCCTCTTTGGGGTAGGTTTCAAAGGGCATTCTAGCATCCCACCAAAAACAGCACCTTTCATATCTCCAGCAATCTGGAATTTTAGTCATCAAAATCCAATTAAGGAAAATCCATATAAAGAAGATTGATATAAACTATAAAGTCATCACATACAGGCATCAACATACCAGCAAACATGGACCAGAGAGCTCAGCACTCTTGCGGATAAGTGTACGGAGTGATATACCATGTTTCAGAGTACTGCCCTTCATTTGAAAGAATCAATAATGAATCAAGATCGAAAAGCAAGAACTGAAAGTTGCTTTCACTGCATGCTGTAGATTCTATAGCAAGACATACCTATAAAGCAAGGCCCATCGGCGTCCTTTCACAATATTAGGAAGAGAAGACTGCAAGAATTCATACAAATCAGATGTAATAAATGCAGAGTCATCTGCAAGGTTATTTAAAGGCTTTCCTGGACTCTGCTGGTCAGTTGCTTCTTTAAACTCATCAGAACCAGTACTGCTTCCAGAGGCATGATCCTCAGCATTACCAAGAAAAGAAACCGGCTGTTCACTGTCCCTTAATGGACTCTTTTTCAGGCTATCTTCACTAAGTTTCTGAAAGTTTTCACTTTTACAAGACACAGTGCATTCTCTATAGCTATCAAAGGACTCATCTTGGAGGTGAAACTCTTTACTTTTCCATCTAACAGGATAAGATTCAATTGGGCTAAGCTCATTTTGTTGGTTGGTTGATTTAGATCCACCAAAGCCAACTGAGGGTATAACGAAGGAAAAATATGAAGAAAAAGATTTCCCCTCTTTTGAAAATGGCCTGGCCTACACATTAAAAAACTTTTGTGTCAGAAATCACTTCTCAAAAAAACAAAAAAAGGGTATATAATTGAAATCAAAGGTAAACATAGCTGATCATACTGTCAAAACACAACATTATAAATTACTCATTACAAGTAGGTTATATCTCCTTAAAGTTTCACACATCACACTGATTACACAGCTGATCATCTCGTCCAAACACAATATTATAGATTATACATTATTCGTAGGTTATATCTCCTAGTATAACACTAATTATCACCTCCCCAAAAGTTTGTTAATTTGAGCAAGGGGTGCCATGCTAAATTATGTAAATTTAATATTTTTACTTCCTATGAAATGCAGAATACATAAAAGTAGAAGAAAAATAATAAAAATAATAATATTTTTTTTTAATTTTCTACTCCTTATTTGCTTCCTCCGAGCTAAACGAAATAAAGCCTAAATATTCATTAAAAAAAGTACTGGAAAAACCAAATTCTTCTGTCCTCCAAGATCTCAATTCCTCAAATTCTCAAATCAACAAAAAAATACAACTACAATTCCAAAAGCAGTCAGATCTGGGATGAATCTTTCAAAGAAAACGGGAATAAATCAACAGATTTATAAGAAAAAAAAATAATGATAACAAAATCGAAGAGTTACCTCAGAACGATCGGGTTGAGAATGATTAGAAGAAGAAGTCCGAGAATCGGTGAAGAAACTGGAAACCTTTCCGGTGACTTTGTCCTTGAGAGCGTGCATTTTCGTTTTATCATCAAAATTGAGACTTTGTGTTTCTTAACCCATAGAAGAGGAAGATGAAGAGAAACCGGAGGAGGAATCTGGGGTTCGTGAAAGGTAAAGAAGAATTGTCGGTGGGGAAAAAGAAAGACAGAAGAGAATAAACAGAAGAGGAGGGAAAGTGCGTTCTCGCACGGAAAAGCGTTTGGCTTCTTTGATTGGTTGTTGGTCGTGTTTGGGGGAAAGGAAAATTTAAAGTGGGACTTGATTTTCTTGAGAAAGGAATTCATGATTGATTAAATATGATTTTCATATCTTAAATTTTTAATTTTAAATATTTTTAATCTTTTCAGAGAACTTTTAAAAAAAATTTGAAACCTCAATTTATATTTAAAAGTAAAAATTTAATTTAAAATTTAAAATTTTAATATGTTTTTTTAATATTTTCATCAATTAATTTATTTAATTTATTTAAATATATACATTTTTAATTCATAAACTTATAATATATATAAATTCATGAACTAAAATTGTGCATATGAATAAATTTAATGAATTAATTAATAAAAAATTAAAAAATATATATTTTTCATAGTTTAGGTACTTAAAAATATAAAAACTAAAAATATTCAAAATTAAATTTGGTTAAAGGACTCTTCCACTGTGCTATTATTGGTTAAAAGTCCTGGAACGCTGCACTATAGTAAACTATAATAATACTTATTTAATGGAGCAATTAAAGGTTAACTTACATAAAGTAAAAATTATGATGTTCTATAATTAAAATTATTAAAATATTTGATATTATTTAAGTGAAATCTTATTTATATTTTATTTAAATAATAATTATGATTAAACATTTTGATAATTTTAGTAAGGAAAACATATTGATTTTTTTGCATGCTTTCATTTAAGAGTAATGATAGGCAGGATTACGTCAGGGAACAAAATTAGGGGACGACAAGTATTATAGAGGTTAAATTAATAATTACATCACATGTATAAATCTTTTTAGTACTTTTCGTCCCTCAATTTTATCTCCTGGTGTCATCCCGCCTATCATATTTCTTCATTTAATACATTGCCAAATAAAAAAACATAATTAATGGTACAATCCAGTCATAGATTGTTTGGGTTCTATCCTCTGATTTTTGGCCACGTAAATTGATTTCTTACAACGCAATGCAACACCTCCTATGGTAAAGTGTCTAAAGGCCTCCTCGGAGGATATTCTTTGGTGCGGGGTCGGACTTTGAAAAACTTGGTGTCATCTACAATCTCCAACTACATTTCAACAAGTCTTTTTAATAATTGTCAATTAAAACCAGCTTAGAGCAACAGAAGAACATGGGATAAATAGAAAGCAGGAATTTTTTTTTATATAATTTAAATTATAAAATATTAATTATTAGGTTAAAAAAATCCAAATTACAAAGATAGTGGACTCTTTTTTCTAGTCTGTCGTAGCTCTACTGATGAAATACATTTACAAACGTTTTGGTCTCTTGTTGCCCAAATATATCTTAATTTGGTTGGCAAAATATCTAAATTTACCCTTAAAATATAGTGTTAGGAATGATTTACGCATAAACAAAAAATGGAGATAAATTCATTTATAAAATTTTTTATTTGAATAAATCATCTTAAATTTAACGTGTAATGTCATCTGATATCAACAATCCGTTAATTTGTTATATCATTAATAATAAATTATTAATATCAAATGATGTCAAATTAATATTAGATAACGTCACACGTTAAATTTAAAATGATTTATTTAAATTGTAAATTCTTATAGATAAATTTATTTTAATTTTTTATTTAAAAGTGGTTATGCTCTTATCACTATATTTTAGGAGTGGATTTAAGTATTCTAACAATTTGATCTGTCTCTTTTTTTGGATCGCTAACTCATTTCTTTGCGGAATTATTTGCCCTTTTATGTTATTCCCATTGAGAACACTCCTTTCCAGTTAATTAATTATTGATTTTGAAGAAAATACACTCTTAAAGACCTTTTTCATTAATGATTATAATTATATAATCTACATTAAATTTGATTGCATGATAATTTTTTTGTTTCTCATTTCTACAATTACGTGATCAAATATGTATTAGGTCACTTTGACGTGTATTAGATTAAGTGCATCTTCGATGCGCTACTGAAGGGCAACTCATATTACTATTTTTTATTTGGGAGATGTGAGGGTGTTCAATAATTTATGTGAGACAAATAGTACCGACAAATTTAACAATGAAAATTAAGTAATTAACAATTTCAATTCTTGATGTGAGAGTTGAGTATTCTGAGCAAAAGAAACACAATAGAGCCTTTAAAACAGTGAAGAAAGAAAGTTCGATACTTCAATTCCAAGTCTTAACTTTACTAGGTACTAAAAGAGTGAATGCCCATTTCATTTTAACAAGGTTTTTTTTTTTTTACTTGTATTAAATTATAAAATAAAAAATTTTAAATATGAGAAGAGTATTCAATATCAAGATTTTTTTTTATTTTAAAAGTGAATAATATTACAATTCAATATAATTTAAATTATAAATTAATTTTTTATTTTAACAAACTATAATAATTAAAATTTGCATTTTTTTTAAAATGATTTACAATTTGAGAGGGAGGAATTCGAATCCCGAATTTAAGATTGGAGAGACACACGTGAAAATAGGCATAAAACCATTTGACCACGAGACCAAAATGCAATAAAAGTTTTCATATTTAATGTAGAGTATAGTATACAAATTATTAAATAGTAAAGAGTTCAAGACCTTATGTACGCAGCAGCCTCCGTTGTGAGACTCACCCATCATTTTCAGGTGCGCGATGCGGGTCGGATCCAGATTAGTCGGGGCAAAGCCCCGGATACTGGGCAGAAAACCAAACAAAAAAAAATAGTAAAATACCTTTTAATATTAAAAAAATTTTATTATATAATTCTATGCCATTCCAACTCCACAATACATTTTTTAATTTATAATCACCTCTTATGGTGGCCGAAATTAAAAAAGATAAAATGACAGAAAACCTTGCTATTAGAGCAAAGTTTCACAATTAAGATATCAAACCTAGACGGATATTTATCATATATAATATTAAAAGAATGGAGGAAACCTTTACCAAACTATTGAATTCAAACCCTAATTCTGATGAAGTACCCTGGTCAGACTCCATAAACTTTCCCACCACAAAATCTGATTCCTTCGCATTCATACCTGCACTGCTGTACCCAATATTGCTCCTACCCATTATAATTTAATTTTAATTAAAAACCATTTTGCTCTCATTCTCTTGAAATATTAAAAAAAGTTGCTTACACAGATTTACTATTTCTATACAAAAAATTTTATTTTCCTCTATTATTAATTTTTGTTTTACAAGAACAATAATTAAAAATTAAAAATTAAAAATTAAATTAATACTTTACTTTTGATAAAGTTTAATAACTGATAAAATATCTGACAATTTTAATAAGTTGCAGTGATTCGACAGGAAATGCCCTCTATTATTAATTATTACAATTGTACATTGTACCCCTATTACCCCACTCTCCTCTGAGGCCCCCACTTCAATCTTGTGCATATCTACAGAGGTAGGCCCTCAGAGTAAAAGTTGATCTCAAACTCCAAACTCCCTAGAAACAAGACCTAAAACTAAAACCAAGAAACCCTTTTTCCACAGAGGGGAGGAGAGTTTTCACCCACAAAGCTTCAGTCTTTCTCACAGGATTAGGTGAAACCATCTCTCAAATTCCCTGCAGATCCCCACAGTGGTGCCAAAAGTGCCATGATTTGATCCATTCTAACTCCATCCCACAAATGGGTTTTGGTTTTTCCTCAGAACCCTTGTTCCTCTTTCTCTCATTTCTTTTCCTCTTTAGCAACCTTGAAATCAATACTGTTGAATCTGCTGCTGATTACAAAACTTTGGTATACAAGGGATGTGCAAAGCAGACTTTCACAGATCCAACTGGGGCGTACTCACAAGCACTCTCTGCCCTCTTTGGGACCATGGTCTCTCAATCCATGAAAACAAGGTTCTACAAGACCACCACTGGGACTGCCCAAACCACCATCACTGGTCTATTTCAGTGCAGGGGAGATCTCAGCAACGGTGATTGCTACAACTGTGTGAGCGGGCTGCCACAGCTAGCAGACAAACTCTGTGGCCCAACCATAGCTGCGAGAGTCCAGCTTTTTGGGTGCTACATGTTGTATGAAGTTGCTGGCTTTGCTGAAGTTTCAGGTATGGAAATGCTGTACAAGACCTGTGGTGGAACAAATATTGCTGGGAGTGGGTTTGAGGAAAGAAGGGATACAGTCCTTTCTGTGTTGGAAACTGGGGTGGTTAATGGCCATGGTTTTTATACCACTACTTACCAGTCCGTGTATGTGTTGGGGCAATGTGAGGGGGATGTGGGGGATTCAGATTGTGGGGAGTGTGTGAAGATTGCCGTGCAGAAAGCTCAGGTTGAATGTGGCAGCTCCATCTCAGGTCAAGTCTATCTGCAGAAGTGCTTCATTAGTTATAACTATTATCCAAATGGGGTTCCTAGAAGATCAACACCTTCTTATTCTTCTCCATCTTCTTCAGGTAAAAATGGATCTCCTTTCCTTCTAATTGGTTTTTGATTTTGATTCCTTTTTGGATTAATGACTTGAAAATGTTTTCATCTTCCATTTTTATGAAGAAATCTTGACTAATGCATTTTATGGGGGGATGTTTTGGATTGGCTAGTGGTGACAGGACAAAATACAGGGAAGACAGTGGCTATAATATTAGGAGGGGCAGCAGTAGTAGGCTTCCTAGTGATCTTACTCATGTTTGCTAGAAGTGTGATGAAGAAAGAAGAAAAATGAGGGTATGCATTTTGGAAATATGAATCGGATCCATATTCTGCCTTGTTTTCTCTTGAATATCCAGTTTTTGTTTATTCTAATTGGATTGCAATTTATTTATTCTTGCAGATCTCTGAAAGAAAGAAAAGAAACGAGTTCTAAAGAGGAAGAGTGCTTTTTGAGGTGGATTCTTCATTTAATTCTTTCTAGAACTAGAATTTTTCCTTTTTTTTTTCAAATATGGGAAATGGAGGGTCTTTTCTGGTGATTATAATTGGTGAAGAAAAAGATGCAGGAAAAAAGGGTAAATGTGGGTGGGGTTTCTCTGTCCACTGTTGGGGAAAACAATTTGTGGGTTAGAGAAGAGTTAGGGCATGAAATGTAAACATGAAAATTTTCACAAAGGTGAAAAGGGATTGAACCGAATTGAATGTTTTTGGTGATTTTGAGTAGATGGCAGAGAAGAGGAAGAGGTGCTTTTGTTTTGGTTTTTGTTTTTGGTCATCAAGAGGTGGTTTTGTTTGAGCAATGGTTTTGGTCACTTTTTACCTCCATAGCCATGTGGGTGTTTGTCCTTTTTCTCTCTTCTCCAGATTATTGCTGCCCCATTTTCTTCACCTCTTTATGCTTTGCTTTTTAGAAAGTAACAATCTCTGTCTTTTCTCCCTCTCTCTCCACTCACATTTATTTGTTTACATATCTTTTGTTTGTTTTACGGTACTTTTGTGATTTTTGATTCTTTTTTTCACCATTGAATTTCAAGCAAAGTTACAAATTTCTTTGATGTCATTAAAGAAAAATTCATAAACAATATATGTGGGAGGCCCTAGCTTGAACAAATCACTCCAACTTTTTCTTGCTCTGGCATAAAAACTTGAGTTAACATTTTCCTTCCTTTTGAAGTTTGTTACGTGTATCCCTTTTATTTTCTTTTTTTCGTTGTCTGCTTGCTTGGAAACCCAATCCCCAATAAATCTTAGTCACACGATCCTCTTTTCATGTTCAATCTAAGCTTAGTTGGCAAGGAACCATGTGAATCTTGAGACAGTATTTTCACCCTTTAATTCCCCTCAATTTGTTGCTTCCTTGTTCAATAAACCTCTTACCAAAACGGATATACTAATGTCTTTTATTGCTTTTAGTGGTAACTTTTTAAAAAAATAAAAATAAAAGATTTAAAATTTATCCAGGATAACTAAGAAATTTTCATTTTGGCATCAGTCCATTGTGGGGGGAGGAGTTGAGGGTGTCAGTCAATTCTTGGCCCTTAAGACAAAAACCTAATTAACCACAAAACTAATGTTGGGTTTAACAGTAGGTTGTCCTAGATTATTGGGTTTGAAACACTTTTTTGATTAGATAAATGTGTACTGTTGTTGGATTTAACAGTATGTTATCTTAGATAACAGTTTAAACAAGTCTTTTTGATTAGATTAACGTTTGTCTCAAACCCAAGAAATTGACAGTTAAAGGGGTGAGGTTAGGTCCACTTTGTCTTGTAGTTTGTGTCAATATGCTTATTTGAAAGGGATACATGGTCTTGTTTCCATCTACGGAGATTGATGGGGCAGAAGATCAGGCGCTTTTTTTCATTGAGCAAATCTTACTGCTTCATCCAACAACATAAACAGAGAAAAATTAGTGAGAAGTGAGGACAAGATTATAGAAAAGAAATCTCAGTTGCAAGAAGATTTGTTCTTATTCTAGTTTATTAAGATTTGATCGTTAAGATTTGATAACTAAAACGGTCACGAGAAAATAATTTGTTGCAAATTAGTAAAATATGAATAATATGACTTTGACTAAATATTGTTACACGTAATTTTAGTTTTTTTTTTCTTGAACATGAAATGAGAATCGAACTCAAAAAACAATATATTTTTTTTAATGTGATTAATATTACTAAACCTGTCATAATTGATTTGGTTAATAAGTAATTGTAATCTATAATCTAATGTACTAAATACCTATCCCATCCCACCAGGTTTCTACTGCAGTGCAGTCGTCCTCTTGCTGTCTTTTCTTGATTTTCTTCCTCTTGGTTGATGCCCCTTCTCTTTTCCCATAGTTCCCAATCTTCGATGCATGTTAAAAAAATAATTTATTTTAAAAAATAATATTTTATTTATCAATAAATTTAATTTATTAAATAATTAAAGATTTAATTTTTAAATAAAAATATCAGTGAATTTTTATTTTCAATTTATCATTTTGTTCAATCTAACATTTCTAATTTTCGGTAATTAATAAAATATATTAATATATTAAAAAATATTATATAATTTAAATTATTTTATTTTATATCAATAAATTTAATTTATTAAATAATTAAAGAT